GGCTTGTAAGAACTTAATATTAAGTAAAATGTTTGATTGGAAAATATTTATTTTTTTAAAATTAATATTATTAAACGAGCAGGCGTGTTGAAAGTAGAAAATTACAAAAAAAAAAAAAAACACAAACAAACAATAAGCTTGAGTCGAGTTTATATCTACTTTTGTTGCTCTGATTCTATGGTGTGTATGATAATATAATAAACATAATATATAATAATGATATTAACAACGCAGAGCTTACTAAACCATTAATTCATCCACAAGCTATACATATAGAAGCTTTAATGAGAAAATATGTCAGAATCTTATGTCTCTGTTAAAAAAAAAATCAACGCGCTCTTGTCTCGAAATTATTGTACTACATACATATTATGGCCTATTATTGGCCATAATATTCTACCCATTCATCATGCATTAAGCCCGAGGCTTGTTYACAGTCCATAATAGTATAATACTCCATACTGCAACATCCTCAACTATGGTGTGACTGTATGTGACTCTCGTCATTTACTATTCAATTGTCCTATCCCYYATTAGACTAAATTAAAAATWATTTTTATTAACTTCATTATTCCTTTCTCTTCCAATAATGCCAATATCATAAAAGACCTTCATCATTCCTTTCTCTATATATTGGTTTAAAAATTTAAAATATAAGATGAGCGCTACGTTTTATATTAATATAATATGTTTTTTTTTGCTTAATTATTAATTACATAATCATGGTTAGAAATAATAATTTATGATAATATTTGATAAAAAAAAAAATTATAATAATAAAACAGAGATATTATATAGGAATATACTATGACTAAKGCCTGTTAAAAATAGGTTAAAAAATGCTAAAATGCTATAATATATTATCATAAATGCTCTATGTATAAATGAATATTTTTTTAATTATTCATAATTATTTTGTATTGCACGATTCGTAAGTTTTATTCAAAGAAATGAGTATATAGTATATACTTAAATAAAAATGGTTATACGTATACATTATTTATTTTAGAAATTAAGAATAAACTGTTCCGAAAACATAACAAAATTAGAAATGTATCATTATAATATTTGAATGATAATTAAGTTGTATTTAAATATAAGCCTTAGATACATAGTACACAAATATTTTCTATAATGCATATTGCGTAGTATTATTAAAATCATTCATTAATAATGAAACTTTGAAACTTAACTGTGTTGTATAATATGGCACGTATTTGATGTTGTATATTTAAAGGGCCAGTTAATTATCAGTTAAGTAATAAGAGTTTTAATTAATAAATTGAATATTCTCAGTGTAAAAAATTGTTGTATTTTTGATATTCATATAATAATTAATGTTGAAAATTGAAATTAAAAATAAGATGCACGAGTATAGTTTAATTTATGAATTTATTAAACAGTACGATATAATTCTAAATTCTAAATAGCATTATGCATATTACAGTGATATATTTGTGAGACATTTAAAATAGTTTTCAACCCCTAATCTGTTAATGTTATGCTTATTTAATGCATATATTATAAACTAATGTATCTCATAAAGTTGTAACAATAGTCAATCTAGAATTCTGTGTAAATGTAAATTATTATTTTTTTTTTTTCAAAAGATTAGCTCGTAAATGTAAATAAAATAGAATAACATATTAACTATAGGAATAATAATTAAACACATTCTATAATTAAAAAAAAAAAAAAAATAGAGTAATAATATTTTATATTAATTGTATAATATATTATTTAGACTATTCTGAGTGAAAGCGTTTATCATAATTTAAATAATGAGATATTTAGTTGATTATACAATTTAATTAAATAATGAAAAATGTATAGGTACATCGTAAAAGTGTATTAATTGTTCAAGAATATTACTACGAGTTATAAAATATATTAAATGAAACATTTTAGTTGAAAACATACTGATTATCACGTATGATAATCAATGAATGAAATATCTGAGGAATAACAAATATTTCTAAGTTGATAATATTTTTGAGGTAATTTCATTCATTAGTTTCATATTATTATTATGTTATAAAATAAAATTTGTTTATACTATTTCACAATTTTTGAACGGGTTTTCAATTTAACTTTATTAAAATATCAGTAAAATATTTAACTATTGTATTTTATTTACGAAGTTGCATTACCATCATCAGATTTATTTGTGTAAACTTGGTCCTGATGAATAATGTAACTATAAAATTAAGACCGTATAAATTAAATATATATTAAAAATATATTTCCAGTCAAAAATTGATGTATTATTAATTCAATATGGTTAAAAAAAATTAATTCATCTTATTTTAAATCGACAATATATACAAAAATGTTGAATTGGTAACAATGGATTAAACCTTCGGTAGATACTTATTCAAATTTAACCATGAATTAATAATTTTTATGTTTTTATATTCACTAAAATGTTGAAGTTTGTTATATTTTTGTAGTTTTTATTAAATTATTACTTTTTAAAGTATACAGATAATAATATTTCATATGTTATGGTTTTCCATATTGTAATATGAGGTATTACATTACATTTCTGCAGTCATGCAATTTATTTAATCACATAAGTCGTGTGATCATTTTTACAGTAAACATAGTCATTATCTATACATAAGGGATTTATAAATCTGTGATTGGGGAAAGAAAGGGGCTACATTTAAAATTAAATTTTTTACACCAATCTATATTTGGCTAAAATCATGATAAATTTTACTATAATAAAAATTGTCCAAAGTAAGGACAAAGGAGGTATGGATAAAAACCCTTAGCCCTCTTTGGATGCACCACTGATCCTACGTGGATGATGATTCTTAAGAATAAAAACATTTACTATTATGGTTTTCATTAATTTACTAATATTTCATTATTGAAATGTATTAAATTAAAAAAAAAAAATTGTTGTAGAACACATCAGATGTTTCTTATTTTTGTTATTTTAGACTTGATATTTGCTTTTACTACTTTAAATTAAGCTTGCATTGTGAGATCCAAGAATCTAAATTTTCAACGATGACTTTTTGAAAAAAAATGAAAAAAATGGATTAAATAGATTAAATAGATTAATTATTATTTTAATATACATCACACCTACTTAAAAAAAAAAAAAAAAAATTATAATATAATAATGAATAAAATTTTTCTTGCATTTGCATTTGAAAATTTTTTGATCATATCACTATGGTTGTTGATGATGGCGAGATAACTATTAGTTAATAACGTATTTAATATGCATTATTCAACATTTTAAATCAAACGAAATTTTGTTGCTTTAAAATTGGAATTTTAATCACGAGACCCTAAGAAATGTCAAATTTTAARACTTGGAGACCACTCCCTCCTCTTTGAAACCGGCCTTGCTTAATATTCGTATAGTTACCAAAAACTACTAAACCACCTATCTGGACGATCGTGGATAATGTGTTTGATGCGGTTTAACTTCAATCGTTTATATACATAACATACATAACTATATACGTATCCTTTCCATAATTTTGATTCATAGATTTTTAATGCTGACATAATATTATATCCTTCATAAAATTGATCCATTTGTTTAAATTATCATTGGAATTTAGTACAATAATAGTCAATAAATATGATAATACATAAATACATACTTTCTTATAATTCTTAACCAAATGTTTTTTTTGTTAATTGACACTTGATGTTCAGTCATAGGTACGGTTTGGAGCATATCAGCTGCGTTGGCGTCACCGATGTTATTCAAGGACTTGCTAGTATATGAAAAGTTTCCCGTGGCGATGATGGAAAAAACACATGGTCTGGTGTTATTACTCGTCGCATTTATAGCTCCATGTGCTGCTCTTATTTTAGTGTACTTCAAAATGTACGTGGCGGCTCACAGGTAAGATCAAGGTTATATTTTGTAAAGTAGTCATTTTTAGGTTTTTGTATTATAATATATAATGATCCGATCTTTAGGATTATTTATAATTCCATGTAAAATAAACACAGCCGCTGTGAATATAATATGTGTGAAATAAATATTGAAAATATATACTTACTAAATATCCATCAAATATGATATTATGTCTAGTATCAAAAATAATTGAAAACGAAACATTTTAATATTTTATGTGTTAAAAAAAATTGTTTCATGTTTAAAATCATATTCATATTGTTTGAAAGAAATTCCATCGTTCTCGGTGTGCATACAATATTATTGCAGTTTTCATTTAGCAATATGTATATAAATTTTAATCTATATAATATATATTATTATGCGTAGATATGCACGTCCGCAAAACATTGTCACATAATAATTCGTAATATTTAATATAGTTTCGTCGACATAATTCTCTACTCGTGGAGCTTAAAAACGTTAATGATGTTACTTGTACGTGGTATACAAGTGTTCAAATGCGGTAGTAAAGCCTCGGATGTAATGTATGCTGGCGGCAACAACAACTATATTCTATGGAAAACGCGTGCCGCCAATAGCAGCGGACTAATTTAGTAAATCCAATAACGGTGGCGTTGTCGGTGACAATATTTCTCCGACCCGACCACTTGCGTAAACTAAAGATAATAATATAGGTATTATGGTACCTGCATTCACCCCTATACCTATATATTATAATATATTTTATTCATTAGGAGAAAAAATTTCGTCGTAGACATACTAATATATTTATAAATGTTATTATATAAAGATGACATAAATACGTTGTCAAATACAATGTTTTATAATTTATTTTGTCATTCAAATTTTTTTTACATTGATTTTAAAATATTTCTTCCATTTATATTACCATAAAATATGTACATATTATATATATAATATGTATTATTGTTTTCTCTAATATGTAATGTAGATATAATACAATACAATTATATATATATATATTTATACTATATAAAATCTCGTAAAATGTGTTATACATTTTAAATTCTATTTACTTTAACTATAATGTAATAATATTATACACGACCTAAATACACAGATACAGTGGAGTGGTGAACGGTAATTTATTTCAGAAGCAATTGCCTCTGAGATTTTTCTTAAATAGAGAAGTGGGTGTTAGCCCGTGGGTCCCATAGTAAATATAATACGATATATCTACTCAATAGGTAGTTAATAATGATCTGAAACTTTGAAATATAAGAAGTTGTATGTTAAATATGTTATCATGCATTAATACTTGGAGTATTTGAAACTTGTCTCTCGACAAATTTTCAGTTCACCATGCCATTACAAAAATGYACAAATAATTTAAAACTCTTTGAATATAAATATTTGTCACCTTGAATATCATTGAAATATATTTTAGTTTATAAGTACCTATCTTCCTACGGATAAATTTATGTTAGATTAAAGATATTTACAGTTTATAAAGTATACGTACCTAAATGTTTTTTTTATTGATACAGAAAAATTCGACAGGTATGGCCATTAGTTATAATTTAAGTAGGTGGGTATTTACAGTTTTAATAAATTGAGTACAAAATCAAAGATAAAAAAGAGGTTAAATTGTGTATACAGTGATAGTTCAAATATTTTTAAATTAAATTATTGAGACCTGTTGCTTTTAAAAATTGCATCATCTTCTGATTCTCCTCGGTGTTGGGTCCCAGTGCAACGTACATACTACTATACCTAGCCCGATGATTTGTCGATGTTTTTCGTGTTTGAAATATTCAGTTATTATGTGTCTTATCTTTTATAGTTAGTTGGACACCACAGACTTCGCATAGGTGGGGTTCTTTCTTTGTCATCAGGTAACAGCTAGTGCGCAAGTCGCATATGCCCAATTCTCAATCGGTTTAGTAGCGATTCTTCTTTCCTCTTTAATGAATTATTTATCTATCTGTTGTTACTTCTTTTTATTGTGTTGAGTTTGGTGATTTGTAGTTTCCGTGTGTTGAGCCATTTATTTTTGGTAATATCATTTACGTGCCTTTTAAGGTCGTTGTAGGATTGTCCTGGTATAGTCTTAATTTTGGAATTTGTGGCGGCGATATTGGTCTGCTTGTCAGCTAGTTTATTTCCTTCGATGCCCTAAATGTTTTTTATTTTATCTTGTAATAGATTCTTTCTAAATATTTCGTGAAAAACTTGAACAAAYGGTGAAATGTATAATATGAATACATACAATATGTTATATTAAATAATCAATTATGAAGTTTTTTAAAAATATAATTTATCTAATATTTGTCTTTCTTGTATCATTATTTATTTATCGATATAAATTACTATAATTTGTTGTAAATATCGTAATTAATTTACGCTTACCAATTATATATGTTATATTTTCTATAATATCATCAATAAGTTTGATGATCCTGTATGTCAGTAACACTTTATAATAATAAAAAAATAAAATCTAATGTGTAAACAAATATTGTTAGCTTTAAATATTTTTTTTATACATATATATACGCTACAGCTTTTAAGGTTATTTCTTCTTCTTCTTCTTTATTGTCTTTTATGTACTGTTTAGGTCCATAACTTCAACATCTGATTACTTTTACTCATCCTTATATTGAAACAGTCCTTCTCTATTGTTCATTCCCAAACTCAATGTAAGTATCTTAGGCGATCTTGCAGTGTTTCCATCGTTGTCTCCGCCGCCTTTTGCGTTTGGTTTCTAACTTATGACCAACTAAATGAGGTCTTCGGACCTCCAYATGTATCAAGTTGATTTCAGCCTTTTGCTCTTAATAACTCCAGTAATGTTTATTTAGTTTGGTTATTACGTTTATAAATATATTGTATTAAAATTAAATATTAAAGATTTATATAAATTATTTTAAATATAATCCATGCATGGATTAAAGTTTAAATATTTGAGTTGCATTTACCTATATAATATATTACAAATCATGGGCTCAAAATCAAAAGGTGATACTATAACTTCAAATTTTAACATCTTTTTTCTTAATGAATGATTTTAAATGACTATTTCTTTATTACTTTTTTATCATTTGCTTTAAACCTTGATTTTTTGTTCCAAGTAACACATAACGCGAAAAACCACAAAAACCAAAAAGTTCTATTGATGGTACCTTGTACCTAATATATTATTAGCTCACTGAGCATTGATTTATTATATTATGCAAATGTTAAGCGATGATTAAATTTCGCAATGTAGATTAATCGTACTACAATAGGTACTATTAACATCAGTACTTGACCATATACGTATATAATATATAATATTGTTATGTATATAGTATATATATTATAATGTATACATTGGGTTTATATAATATAAATATTTTTAAAAAGAGTCACCTCTCAATGACTTTATTTATTCGGACGATTCTGCTCTGTATCGAGTCAAACACTCAAATCTGTACCAATAACATCTTGTACATACGCTATTATTGTAAAATTTTAATATTTACAAATTGTGTATGACTATTGACTGTAGTTAAATTAAAACAAAGTTTTTAATTGAAACATAAAAATAAAATAAAAATTCGATTAATTATTTTTATTAATTTGTATACAGTAATAAATAGTGTGTAACTGTCTATTATGACTTACGACCTATCAAAACTATGTCGCTCATAATAAAAAAAGAAAACAAGTTTTTAAAATAATTTTTTTATTTTTAAACGAGTATTAAATTTTAATATTAAAATAATAATAATAATATTGTTCTTAGTAATAGAGGTAATATTTTAAAACTTTTTTTCTGTGTATATGTCACAATTTCCKAGACAGTTTCGTGAAAAGTTATCCATATTGTGTAATAACCCGATGAGTAAAAAATTATGTTTAATTTTATGAAATAGAAGAAATGTCTATCATGAAATGTATTTGAATATCAAGAGGTTATGTACGTTATATACTATATTACCTACTATGCGTTTTTTAAATTACGATTTAAAGTAAATATTGGACTTAAATTATGGCGCGTACGACTCGTACGAGTGTAACATTTAGTTTTAGAAATTATTCAGCACTCAGCAGGATGAATTGTAATAATGATCGATTTAAATATTTTGTTATATGATTTTTTTTTTAAAGAAATTAAATTACCAACAAAAGAGGAGCAGCCAGTATTTGGAAAGAATCAGTGGTTTTAAAAGAATAGTCTAACCTGTCACTTGGGGCGAGTGAAGAGTAATGAGTGTATAACCCATTATATAGAATACGTCTTTCTCACAGAGGTTAAAAAAGTTTTATTTAATTTTTATGTTCCTTATATCTTAATGTTATTAAACACAATTACGTATAAATATAATACAAACATTCAAAATAATCTAGAAAGAAAAAAGAATTTTTTGTATTTTAATTAAAACGTTTAAAAGTACGTAAGAACAACCAACAATTATTAATTGAACTTTTGGATTTTAAAGGTTCGATAATTTAGGTGATAGTTACTAATTACGAGGACTTTGCATTCCAGAATTTAATAAGTTAATATAGTTTTATAGTTTGCTTATATTGTAGAAACTATTGTTATTTGTTTGTATACTTCGGACATTTATAATATATTTTGGACATATTTTGTTTTACCTATTATCATGCATAAAATATTTATTTTTTTAAATGTCTTAATATTTGCCTCAAGACATACAAATAAACAACAATATACTTAAATTTATACTATGTTTTGTATTTATCAGTTCAAAATCTTCAAATGTATGAAATTTTTCAATTGTATGTATTTCAACTCCAAACCATCTCAAAGTAAAAACTTTTTATAATTCTATAAATTTTATAAATTATATATATAAATAGGTTTAAAGTAAAATATTTAATATTGTGTAAAGGTTTAGTCACAAAAAATGTTGTTGACAATAAAAAGATACTTTCATATAGGTAAAATAGATCTTTTGAGCGTAAACATTATTATATTATTTATTCTTATAGTGTTATAAAGTTTTGACGTT